GACCGTGCTACCAGTTTGGTCTTGCAAGACTGTTGCGTAACTGGAGATGATTATTTTAAATGGGTAATGGCCAACAATAACTGTCTAGATGGCAGTATTACACGTTTGTAAATTGATTCAGAATTTAAATAACGATTCATTATTGTATAACTAATCCATATTGAAATTGCCTGCTATTTATGTATTCTAAAGACAAATGACGAATGAATGGATAAAGATGGATTCTGATATCGAGTTATATTTGTAGCTATCAATAGCCAACCAATATTAAAGACATAGGATTTGTTTTCTTTTAGACAGAATCAGGGTTCTTCGGTAGTCTTCCGTATTAATCAAAGTCAGGCCCTGAGGAAGGTTAGGGGATTTATCTTCATCTTGTGACAAACCAGTAATGTATGGACTTCATAATGATACTGGCTCAAATATCCTCTATAGTTCATTATCATTCAACTCGTTGCGTCACATAATGACCGAGGAAATCGAAGAATTCACAAAAAAAGTTTGTTTGACTTTCCAATGGAAAATAGGTATTATGATGTTTAGAGATTTTCATTCCTGTGGTCGTCTGCTATAGTTATTTGACAATTTTATCTTTACTCAGATAATGCCTGATTAGCAAATTTAAGTAAAAAAGAACTCGTAATCAAGGTCAAAAGGTTATTACGGTGTAAGCATGCTTTTATTTTATGATATATTAAGAACGCAAACTATGTCGACGAAACGTTTATAGTTAACTATTTTAAATTGGTTACTCATTTTAAGTTAAATTAAATACTGTTTAGATTAAAAAGGAACAAAATTTAAAATTTTCAAATTAAATTAACTTCTTAAATTTTCTGTAGCTCTCGCGGAAGAGTGATAAATCAATAATGATGCCAAGATGAAAAAGAAAACATAATTACGTTCTAATTTAAAAATAATTAGAACGTTGACCATACCTAAAGCAATACTATTCTACCTAAAAAAAAATACATAGAACGTTGATCATTGAAAAAAACTACCCTCAAAATACACAATATTTAGATCATTGAAAAAATATAACTTAAAAATAAACAGTACATTGGTCATTAAAAACCCACCTTACAAATGCACAGTACGCTAATGATTGAAAAACCACCTTACAAATACACAGTAGGTTGATTACAGAACGAAACACGTTCAAAATACACAAAAATAATCACAAAAGAAAGAATTACCTTAAAATTACGCAGTAGATTGATCATGGTATAAAGAACTAACTTGAAAATGCACAATACCTTGATCAAAAAGAAGAAATAACCTACTTTAAAATACAGAGTAATAAAGCAACTGTGTTTTGCAACTGTTCCGTCAAATGAAGAGCAGTCAGCATAAATTTTCCATCACAGATATGTGATTCATCTTGCAGTATTAACTCAGATAGTCAAACTAAACAGATAAGAAGGATTTTATTGTTTCCTCTAAATGATTCATGTACAAATACTCTGTACTTTCTCAAGATTCAAACACAGATAAAATAGTTTGCACTTTTACAAAACGAAAGGAAAATATTATAGCAAATAATTACACAAAACGAGATAGCAAATAATTACGCAGGACGAGATTGCAAGTAATTAAATAGAAATAGATAGCAAATAAACAAACGGGAGGAGATAGCAAATAATTACAAAGAACTATATGACAACTGCACAAGACGAGATAGCAAATAATTATACAGAACGAGATAGTAAATAATTACACAAGACGTGAGAGCAATTAATTACCCACGACTAGGTAGTAAATAATTGCACAGGATTAGATAGCAAATAATTACACAACTCAAGATAGCAAATAATTACAAAGGACTATATAGCAAATGACTACACAGGACTAAATAGCAAATAATTATAAAGGACGAGATAGTATATAATTACACATGACGAGATAGCAATTAATTACCAGGACTAGATAGCAAAGAATTACAATGGACGAGGTAGCAAATAATTGCACAGGCTTAGATAGCAAATAAATACACAAGACGAGATAGCAAATAACTACAAAGGACTATATAGCAAATGACTACACAGGACTAAATAGCAAATAATTATACAGGACGAGATAGTACATAATTACACATGACGAGATAGCAATTAATTACCAGGACTAGATAGCAAAGAATTACAATAGACGAGGTAGCAAATAATTGAACAAGATTTTATAGAAAATATTTAGACAGAACGAAATAGCAAATAATTATATAAGACGAGATAGCAAATAATTACAAAGGATTATATAGCGAATATTTACACAGGACGAGAGAGCAAATAATTACAATTGATTATATAGAGAATAACTTCACAGGACGGGATAGCAAATAATTGCACAGGGCTTTATAGAAAATATTTAGACAGGATGAAATAGCAAATAATTTTAAAGGATTATACAGCGAATAACTACACAGGACGAGATAGCAAATACTTGCACATGATTTATAGAAATTATTTAGATAGGACGAAACTGCAAATAATTACAAGGGATTATATAGCGAATAACTACACAGGACGAGATAGCAAATAATTGCACATGATTTTATAGAAAATATTTAGATAGGACGATATAGCAAATAATTACACAGGACGATATTGCAAATAATTACAAAGTATTATATAGCGAATAACTAAACAGGACGAAATAGCACATAACTACACCGGACGAGACAGCAAATGATCATACAGGACGAGACGTTATGGATTATGCAATTTTGAAATGTATTTAGTGTTGGAAATAGGTTTCAATTCAAATATCAATATTCAGTTCATAATCTCCCATCAATTATCAATTTCAATCAGTTGAATATATTTTCTGTTTTCTGTTATGCATATATTTTCCACAATACATATCACTTTCGCATACTTGAAAACATTTATCTTTCTTTATTTATGTAGATAAATTGCGTATGTCTTTATGTCGATGACTAAAATCTTAAATCTCTGATTTGGTCTCCATTAAACGATTCAGTGAAAAAACCTTAAAGTTTAAGAAAAAAATGTACCAGAGTAAAGCTTAATATTTTACAAATTTATTTCAGATTATCATGAGTTTAGATTTGTTGAGTAATAATCATGCCTCTGTTTATATTAACGGGAAGAAAATGACGGCAATGCGTACCAAATTAGCAGACAATGAGAGCGATCCCTATGAAATAATATGGTTAGAAATCAAAGCAAAAGAGTTTGCAAAAATAAAATTATAAATGAAACGCTGTTCTGATTGTTCTATGCCATGCAAATATCGGAGTCTTGAATCAGATAGAAAACTTTGTGAACCTAAAACAAGGATAATTTGATTTTAGTATCTGCGTAAATCATTCAAACAGTGTGAGATATGAATTAGATATGGGAATGTTGAAAAAATAGTTTTTCGTTGAAAATCTATAGTATACAATTCAGACTATACTTTTGACCGCTCAATGACATATAATAAATACGGGGGTAAAAGATTATATATATATATATATATATATATATATATATATATATATATATATATATATATATATATATATATATATATGCGTACAGATTACTTTTGTTCCAGACAAGAAATAATTTAGTCCCTAAACTACATCACGTTCTAGACATATCAGCAATGTGAGAGACATCTTGAGACGTATCCAGGAATTTAAAGAGAATTTTATGTTCTGGCAGAATTTGTATGTGCTGTTGAGGAGATCGAAGCAAACCTTGGCAATATTTACCATAGATTCCTCTCACTGAACATTTTATTTACCTATTTACAATGTACTGCCATCAGAAAATATTTGATTGTCTTCATTTTGAGTACAACCTTTTGCAAGTCTGATAACACGCAAGACCGATTTAATTACCTGTTCAACACATGCTCGTAGTTGACGTGATTACTGGACTGATTGTCAAAGAATCCTTGCGATGCAGAACTATATAACATACATTTATGTGTAAAGAGCTCGACCACGGATTTTATAAAATATTGCACATCTTTTCACATGAATTCCAGTCCAGGCGGGATCAGTTTGGGTAAGGGAGACAACTTTTCATAAGTTTACCGTGGGCCATTGATTCTTCCCAGGGTCTTAATATTCATAGAAAATGTCTCCCTTTGTGGGCATATACGATATGTGACATGCATATACACTCCACATTTCCAAGTAAGCGTCTACCCTCCACCCCCAAATAACACATTTCCAACATCAATCCTCTCTTAAAAGACCATACTCTTAACTCCATCCCAAAATATTCATACCCCACTCTCTACGCCGCAAAACATACCCCTATTCCGTCAAAAGAAAAAAAAAAGAAAATTAACAGCATATTGTTACATCCTAGGGGCTTAAACTGTGTAACAAGGCATGTTTTCATGTAATCCAACGCGATTGTTCAATAACCAAGTCATTGAACGTTTTCACAATATTCACGGAAGGTAACTTCTGTTTAGAATAATCGCTATGCTGTGCAGTTTCCATCAACAAATTATAAATAAACCAGATTTCCTCTTCGACTCTTATAATACTATATAACCAACGAATGAGATCGTTGTGCTCAAATCCCTTTATGTAGTTACTATATGAGCATCGAATAAAAAATTTTGAATCACTATAAAAGAATACATGTACTAAGTTACTCTGTGTTGTGCAATACCTCTAATAGTGAGCATGTGACTTTTAAATTACTGAGCCAGTTAACAACAATGGTATACATGACATCCCTACAGAAAAAAATACACTCTAAAGAGCGCGTGATGTTGACTTGACCTGCATTTTAACACGCATGACCTATTTTGACAGAATTGGTTATTAACTTCAGTAGAGTACATACATACATACATACATACATACATACATACATACATACATACATGCATGCATGCATGCATGCATGCATGCATGCATGCATGCATGCATGCATGCATACATACATACATACATACATACATACATACATACATACATACATACATACATACATACATACATACATACATACATACATACATACATACATACAGCTCCTTTGGCTTAGTGGTTAGAGCGTCCTCTTCTGATCCGGGAGGTCGTGGGTTCGATCCCCAGTCGAGTCATGCCAAAGACTTACAAAAGAGGTACCAACAGCTTCCTCGCCTAGAGCTCAGCATTAAGAGGTTAGGAGTGGTCGGCCTGATGTCAGGATAATGTGACTAGGTGTGACATCACGCTACATGTCTGCGGCATGATGCCCCACTACTAGACATCACTCTAAACTGCCATACTGCAGACAATACATACATACATACATACATACATACATACATACATACATACATACATACATACATACATACATACATACATACATACATACATACATACATACATACATACATACATGCATGCATGCATGCATGCATGCATGCATGCATGCATACATGCATGCATGCATACATACATGCATACATACATGCATACATATATGTAATTCTCATTATTTTGTTCTTAGTACAAAGTGCCTTCCACTGCAATAATCATACCATAATTGTCGTACATAAGTCGAAGAAAAGTCAGAGTGGAAGTAATTTTTCACTAAAACATTTGCAAAATATTTATGTGTACATTATTTTTATTATTAAGGTCAAGTGCATAACGTAGTACATTTTATGTAGTTAAAGTTTTGTATTTGCTTGAAAATAACTTTTGCTTGAAAATTTTAAAAGCAACGTTAGGTTTTTATAAAGAAGATATAAATTAATTGTTGCACATGATGACTGAGCCTGTAATAACTTTTTTTTTGTAATTTCGTGAAGAATGGACCGCGATTCGTTAAAAAAAAGACATAAGAAAAAAGTTTTAGTTTATTTAGAATTTAAAACAGAAATATCTGGCAAAATTTTAATTAAAGTTATATGATAGTTAAATATACAAACGTAAACATGGATCAATTGGAGAAGAGATAAAAGCATTTCAGATACAAACTCTTTTCAAATGTATTAAACAGTTGCATATTCTACATTAACGTAGACCGTCAATATAAATAGACTCGACATATTGTCCATAAAGTAATTTGATGTAGACTAGTACTAAAACAGAACCAACATTTTACCCTTAATGTAAATTGATCTGGACCAATATTCAAAAGAGAGCCACCATATCGTTCATAATGTTAATTGATGTAGACGAATATTAATAATTGAGCCAACAAATTGATGTAAACTATTATTAAAATAGAACAAACATATTGTCTATAATATTAATGGAAGTAGACCAGAAAACTGGAGTCAACACATGCCCCATAATGGACTCATATTACAAACTGAGCAATAGTATTTCGTATCGCTGTAGTATCTTAAAACCAATTTAGGGAACAATAAAGTGTTACACTGAATTTAGCTTGTAGGGAAGAATAAAGTTTTACACTGAATTTATTTATCTTTTATGGAACAATAAAGTGCTAGAACGAATTTAGCTTTTAAGGAATACTAAATTTAATTAGCCAATTTCCGTGCAGTGGCCATGCAGTGACTTATTGATACTAAAAATAGCATATAAGCGACAAGCACTTCATCAAGCTAGTATAGAAATGTCCATCACGTTTTCCACAACAAAAGGGTTCGGTACATTAAACAATATCCTGACATGTATTAATTTATACTGATATGAGTCAATCGATTATAAATGGCCCAGAACTGAGATAAGTAAATCCAACTAATGTCAGATTATATCATAATTATTGCTATGCTCGTAAATCAATGTCTCTAAGAAATCGCAATATATTAGTTAATGAACAATTAATTAATAACAAATATGTATATGTCTATAAACATAGGAATGTTATTATTATTGTCATGAAGATTTTATCTGTATTTGTTAGTTTTTCTCCATGAATATATACAACTGCATTTGGTACTTGACTTTGTCGAAAAACAGGTTCATGTTGTTACCTGGACATATGATCTAGATGTTATTTTGGATTGCACCGCTATTATTTTTCTAAGAGTGTAGGTTAAAGATTATATTCATTATTTTAGTCCTAGTCAATTACGTTATGTTTATTATAGTTATAGTAACAGACCTTGTCTAATTAAAATTTAAATTGTTCAATAAATTAACTTTATTTTACATCTTACTTCTTCTTTTGTGTCATAGGTTCTTTTAGGTATATAATTGTATTTACTTTTATCCTTATTAATTCCTCCAATAACGTCTACAGTGAAATCAAGCCGTAATGTTTTTTGTAGCATTTCATTTGGAATTCAAAGTCTTCTTAAATAATATTAATGGACAGAATCAGGAATTTGTAATTTAAGTTGATTCGAATAAGGGCATTTTGATTTATATTATCGTGATTAATTGGTTTGGAAGACTGTCATTACATCATCACACCTTCAAGTTACTGGAATATTAGTATATTAAAGACTACAGTCACTTCAACACTTTCAGCACTGAATAGTATAATTATACGACCACCACTAGAATTAAAGTGCTGATGGAGCATTTTGAAGAAATTTTGGATTAAATGGATAGTATTCTAAGTTCTGTTAATGATTCACATTATACTCCATGGAAATAAATTAATTATTTAGTTTTTTTAAACAATTGATGGATTTCAGTCTTCTCTATTACTTACGTTTAAACCGTACGTACAACAATTCTTTTATTAATTATGGAAAACGTTTGAGCCTGTTTTAGGGACGACATTAATTTGTGAGTCGTTTGCAAGACAATCAATCTTCTGGTGTCAATGCAAATCAATGTAAATACTTAAAAGGCTCAATAATAATGCTTAAATAGAGAGGATAAATAATGCTTTGGTATCACCACACAAAAATTATTTTAATGGAAAAATGGTAAAACTGCAAAGTAGGCGACTAGAGCCAATTAATTTTTGATAATAATGAATTTGCGTGTTGTTTTAAGGGGTCATGGCTCAGTTATTTACTGATCACACACACACACACACACACACACACACACACACATACATACATATATATATATATATATATATATATATATATATATATATATATATATATATATATATATATATATATATATATATATATATATATATATATATATATATAGTTCTTCAGGGGATAAATTATTATTAAAAAGAGTAGGGAACTCCTAAAGCAGTCATCTATAACAAAGCACATATATATAGCTCTATAGATGTAACGTAGATGTAACTATCTCCGGCACCAGGAAAATATACAGTCCTTCTTCAACGTATTGTATACTATTCACTCTAGCACAAAAAGTATGATACCGTCTTTTCAAGGCATAATAAACAATTGACTACGACACAGCAAAGAGACATTTTTGACTTACTATTTCACAGGGACCAAGTATATTTAAACAAAACTGAGACTTCATTACATGTTGCTTGCGCACCGGTAAAGAGTGGTATTTCGTCATCTGACAATGCCTAGTACACAATATAAACACATATACTCAGAAAAGACTTTGGCTCCAGCCAATCATTTACGTCGTTATGTTTATCAAAACAGGCTATCTAAACAACTCTTACGAAAGCCTATAATCATTTACCTTCTAAATAAACAAAACTGTTGCCAAAATCGCTGAAGCAACTGGAAATATTGCAGAAAGAACAAAACAGACAAAATACTTTTACGTGGACTTCCAGCCGTAATAGCTGCTGCGTTACCAGTTCCGAAAAAAACCCGAGGATGAAGATCTACCTATGCGGTTCTGAAGCACCAGCCCAGGAACAGAAGAGTTATGGAATAAGTACTGCTGAACTGATAAATAAATTTGATGAAAATGTTGTTAAGGCTATTGATAACGTGAACCTACCTCAACTAGCAAAGTTTCCTTTGGATGGTTTTAGTCCAAGAGATAAATTAATGAAACCTAAATCTGCTAAAAATATTAAATACAGTGAACAATAGTGAAACATATTATATCGCATACCTATGAATGTTAAACGAGGTAGAAAAGATGATTCATTATATCAGAATTGTTAGGGTAATTAATAAGTTAATCGAATCGAGAAAATAGGAGAGGAAAAAGAGTAAAATATCAAACAAAAAAAAAACAAAAACCTCCAAAACGACAACAAAAAAAATCATTTGACCAATCACGTTTTAATTATCGAGAGTTACCAAAATCACGAATACCAACTCTGTCTATAAAACCAAGTAAAACAACACTGCACAAACCGTGTGATGTGGAAGAAGAAGAAATTCAAAACTATCCTGTAGCAACTGGTAGTGGTCTAGGAAGTAGCCTTATTACTTGCCCAAAAACGTTCTTGCTGATGTTGATCGACTAGAACTCCTCTTTCGAGGAAAAAGAGCTGGTAATGATTCCCCAGAAACTATTAATGATGTTGTTGTTGGGCTCAAGGCCATTTTCAGCACACGATAGGTTATTCATGGCGGCCAGTATTAATGGTAGAGGAAGAAACCGTGAAAGCACCTAAAAGAACCACCGACCCACGAGAAGTTACTCGCAAGCTTTCTTATATATCTACATTCGCCGAATCCTAGACCCTAACCCACACAGACAGAGGTGAGATGGCAATGGTCCGTAACGGACAGCGCTTTAGACCACTCGGCCACTCGGGGTCCCCTGAAATTATTAATGAAAAAGATGATATTTGTCAACGATTATTTACATGTGGAATTAATGATATTAAAGGGTATCTTTCCCTCATTTATGAAAATTGCCGATGACTATTATAGTGACTACTAAGTCACTGGATTGAGCATGTAATTAAATATAGTTATTATAATAAAATGATCGTACATAATATTCAACGTGCACTAATCATGATAAGGGTAGTAAATTCTCGATTACTGGTTTAGAAAACAACTTACGCCGATGGACTAGGTGATGTTGTTCAGGGTCTAATTAGAAGGATAGCCACAAAGGCAGTACCGATTGCAAAGCAATTTGGAATGAAAGCTGTTGAGGTTGTTCGTAAAAAGTTATTAGTGCAGTTGGAAATGCCAATAGTAAAGTATTATCGGCAATCAAAGATAGACTATTACGAATAAAACGACAGAAAGCTCAACCTGTAAAATTACTAAGCACTGAAGTATTGCCTGCAAATTTTGGTATAATAATAAAGAAAACTTCT